GAGAGAGAGAGAGAGACTTAATCGCGACGTTATGCAATCGGGCCTTAAATTGACCGAAGAGGATCCGCTTTTACTTCTCACGGCGCGGCGTCTTTACTTCGCCAGATTCGTAGGATTTGTCTAGGGGGATTGCGGCGCAAAAGTTCCCTCGCGAGCGAAGCGCGAAATTAACGACGAGTTAACGACGTTCCACGTCGCTCGCGCCTCTCGAATTTTACGCGAGATCCTGAAAAGACACGGCGGGATTGCCGCCAGCGGGTTTCACTGCGATGGAATTCGATGGAAGTCTTCGCTCGAAGTCTCTTCGAAATGCGGAAGATATTGATTACTGAATTATACTCGTAATTGCGAAAGACTGTTCCGCGTCTATCACCTCTCACGCGTGAACTTTGTCAGTAAATTATACAGTAATGGCATATATGCAATTTGAATTTCTGAATACGTGCTCTTGCAAATCAAATCAAATGTGCGTGAATTATTAACGATAGCTTTTCCGGTAATCTCATCTGTTTTACTAACGATAAGTTAAAGCAGTCGATGATGATATAATATAAGAGATGTTGTGCTTTGTATTTTCACACGTGATACGAGAGGAAGAAGAAATAACGAGAAGAGTGTAAATATTTCATTAATACGACATTGACACACTTCGTATTATGAAATCTTTAATCAGGCTAAGCATAACCAATTAATTTATTTCTTAATCTTTATGACTTATCGATTATCTAATTGATCTTGAGACTGATCTTTGCGGATGTAAGAGGATAGATTAAAATAGCGATCGAACAATTACTTTCTATAATGGCGTTAGTCAGGAATAATCGCGTATTATTTTCTATCTCTGAGAAGGATATAATTAACAGATCCTCGACGAATCGAATTCAATGTCCAAGTTGATATCATAGAACAAGATATATTTTATCATGAAAAAGAATTACGACTACACTTTTACATTGTCTATAATTTTAATTTTTAATTTTTTTTAATAGTTGTAGCAAAAGCATGGCTCGAATGTAATTACAAAATCAAAATAAAAATTATTAACTAGCAATTATTAGAATAACGGTTTGTTATTTTTCTCTAAGAAAGTTTAATTCGCGTAGAATTATGTATTTTTAATCGCTAAACCAATAAATATTACTTATGATTAAAATAATTTGTGCTTCGACATTTCTCTCAAGCGCTAAAATCCAGCAATTTATCATTATAATATAATATATTTAGCTGACACGACGGTGATTGGCCTACCTATTACATTGCATTACTCAAATATAGCCGACGATTAAGTCTACCATTTATCAATCCTTTAATAGTCGAAATCAGCAGTTGACGAATCCGTAATTTCCTTAAATGGAAATTTTATCCGCGGAAATACGTTTATATATAAGTCTTCAAATGGCATCAAAGGAGGCGAACATTGATCAACAGTCAGTGGAATCCGAGGCTAAATCCGTCGCGGTAACTCACCTCTCGCTAATCTCTGCTTGACGAATTCGTTTTCCTGAGGCGTCTCCAGGGACACGGCGTCCATACAATGACGACGACAGATGTTGCGAGCGTCCAGCCAGTCTACCTCGAGATTCCTGGTCGGCTGATGTTCCCAACTGAAGAAGTACGAGTGTACGACTCCTCTGCCGTCCCTGTACGTCGCATGACGAACGCCTGAAGAACGAAGTTACAGGATCATTAATAATTCGCGCCATTCGCGATCATATCTCATTACCGATTGACTTTATTAACTTTATTAGAGACGACACGCTTGTCGTCAATTTATAAAAATCTGTTACAATACACAGAGAGAGATGAGTAAATCTCTCTGTTTTGTCGAAGCGCTGTGAATTCAACTTATTTATTTATTTATTTTTTTTAGTCAGACGTATCGCATGCATTTACGAGTGATTCAAAGAATTGAATGAAGTTAACAAGCAATTTCAGTTCGTATCAGTATCATAAGGTTAACATTTAACTTTAATGTAGTAAATAATTAATAAAGTTAATTAATAAATAAGTTAATAATTAATAAAGTTAATACTACAAGTAATGTTTTTAGTATTTTTAATATTTTTTCATTAAAGATAAGATTTTTAAATTTTATAATTTTAATATCCTATTAACACGTTGACTGCCAATTTTGGATGAATATCTCCGTCAGACCACAAGCGCGGTCACACAAAGCGCACTTCCGAGAGTGAAATCTAGGTAGGTATCGCCTTCTCTTCGGATAGGTTCTTGTTTCTTTCGAACAGAAGGTGATAATAGTCCTAACGTCATGGTCATGATTGCGGCCTGTTTACAATTTTCGGTGTCACCCGAAATCGAGTGACGCGGCAGTCAACGTGTTAAAATAGCGTAATGGATGAAAAATTAGAAAATCCAAAAATCGAATATTAGATTTAATATGAGAGAAAGAAACTTTAATACGAGAAAAAAGATATTAATTTAAGTGGTCAGAGGTGATCGCTCGGCGTTACTTCTAGCGTTTACAGAATCAGAAATGGAGTAAATCCCGCACGCGATCGTTTGACGGCTAACGCGAGCCAGTTTATATGAAGCTGAAGCGAGTTACGACACAACGAAAGTATTCTAAATGAATGAAGATCCAGCCGTTCTCTCTTTATCTTTCGTTTCTTTCTGATACCATGGTTTCTCGTAGTGGAAAACTACTTTTCCACCTAGTTAACCGCGCGGCCATCGAGTTAGAGGGTGATTACGAAATGTCACTGGCAATACTTACGGTTCGCGCAACTTCGCGGATCGGGCAAGGCTAAACGACGCTGAGCACTCACGGCGACAACGCCGAGGAGGAGCAAATAGATGGCCCTCATACTCTCGATCCTTGAACAGAGGAAGAGAGCGTTCGTTTTTAAATGAATTACGTAAGATGTGTCATTGTCGAGATAGAATCTGCGGATTTATTGGTAGATTTTTAGCGAAGTGAACAGTTATTTAGGGGGACACCTCGAGTGCCAAAAAATTCCCAAATTATTTTGAATGGTGGATATACCACTTATCATAAAATATTACGAATGCTTGACAAGATAAATTTGTCTTTTAAATCGAAATGATGTACGTGAGAAGATTATTTTAGTTGAGTTATACTTAATATATATAGAATACTAAATGTGAAATGTGTTTCGGATCCTAATTCTAAATCCGTCGCCTCTAGACAAATGCGGTCGTTAATCAATTGCACGATGCCGCAATTTCATGTAACACGCACGTTACATCCGCGACATGCAACATACTTGAGAGTGCATTTGTGTGTACGCTTAATGCAACCTGAGTAAGAATCATCATGATTATTATCGCGAATTCTGAAAAATTGAAACGAACTTGAATTGTACGAAAAATTGTATGAAACTTGAAAAATTATTTATTTTTACATATATCGTACAAATATAATAAAGATCCTTAAAAAGTCAGCTTATCAATTAATTAAAAAAATATATATTAATTAATATAATGATTAACTGTTTGTAATATTTGATTTAATTGATTTATTAATATTATTTGTTATACATTAATATGTATTATATATACACGATGTAAAAAAATATATATCAGGCATATTCAGGAATTAATGATATCGTTCGAAAAATTTATTGTTAGAAAGAAGAACGTTTTGTGTTTTAAATTCAGAGAAACAAAGGAGCTCTCACACTTGAACAATAATAAGACATTGTACTACTTTTTATGTGGCCTGCGTGGTGTAATTATGCGAATATTAAACTTCACGAAGTTTCGCTTGTTTTTAATCACGGGAAAATCAGCTTGTTATTGCAGTTCATGATTCGGCTTCATTTGCTGGAAGACATACCGAAGGTATAATAAGAAATTTCAGCCTCTCGACAGTAACAATTCCAAGATGCGTGCTTTTATGCAAATGCTGATTACGTACAATTCAGAGCACTTGACAGAAATACCAAGCCGCGTCTCATAGACTAAGGTAATATTAAAGAATCCTTAAGAAAGTCGACAATTCTTTGAAATGGGAACGCTGAACATTTGCCAACGCCATTGAGTGTGTTCAGCAGTTCGAGGTTACGGGGTTACAAGGCTTTTATGATGCTCGCACGCGTTGAATTTGCAACGCACGCAAGTTCTAATTATTAAAATTTTATATTTAAAATTTTTGTGCGAATGTCAATTTTTTAAAAATGCTGGTTTTTATTACTTGCGCCTAATCAAATCGCACGTATAATTGTCTCCTGAAAAATATAAAGGGAGAGTATAATTATAATTAAATTTAAAAACTTGATATTAAGATGAATAAATATATTTTAAGAGATATTTAAAAAAATGTTTTTATTTGTTTAATAAAGTCTTAGACGATCATCGCAGTTTTTTCAATTAATCAATTAATCTAGTTCGATTTAAAACGAAACAAAACGAACGGTGGATCGAATTATGACTGATTGATCTCGCGCAACACGTAGACATCGGCGTTTCGTGATGGTTTTACTAATGACTATTATCCATCGCCACGACAAATGCGAAGCGAACCACTTTCTAAGAGAGCAAACGACACGACAATGCCGTTAGCAAAACGCATTCATAAAGCGAGTGAGTAAAAACGACTGTATGATTTCCCTAATCATCGTTCCCACTGCCAATATCGTCGGTTCGGAAAGCGACATTTTGCATGGTCGTAAAAGCTGTGGGAGAAAAAACGAGCTGCATTTTCTCGCGATCACTTAATTTTTCTGTAACCTAAATTCACAAGTCGAGAGAGGAATACACATTCAAGGAATCCTTCAAAGAACAATACTTTCACATCGGATACTGAATAAAATTAAGAATTATGATTTCTTAGCTGTTTTATAAAATTAAATTGTTTTAATAATTTAATAATATCCGAATTAAATTACGAAACCCGTTATCTTAAATTTTTTAAAAATAATCGTAAGATGACTGATTTATTCATTAGATAAAGTTTTAAATAATTACTAACAGAAAATAAAAATTATTGACACGAAAGGAAACAAACAAAAGTTATTTATGCTAAATTATTGATTATTTATTAGTTTAGCGAACTCGTAGTTCAAAGTATACAAGAATAGTATACGATAACTTGAATTCACTAAATGTATAATTCAACAGCATCCATATTCATACATCAAGTCAAAGACTCGCGACTGTAATACATACTCCTTTTACTTCTGACTATACATTACCAAGACAATAAGCAGTTTTTCGTGTTTACGTGAAGATGTATGATTCGACATCAAGATAAATGGCGTGTCGCATTAAAATAAGCATCAACATTCACTGTAATAATGTATATTAATCATCCATATTGCTACCGATGATAACATGAATATAGGAATATTTTATTTTAGATTAATCAGACATGAGGAATCGTGATTCGAGCGACGCAATCGAATCTCGAGGTATGTTAAAGCAATGTAAAATCGAGAGAGGCATCCCTTTCGTCTCCCCCTTTGTACTCATCCTTCGTGAGGATATTTATCCTTCAGGAAAGCCCGTTTCTTCGCTCTCAGCTGCTAATTAGAAATGGAAGCGTAGGAGTTACCGTGTCGCCATAATTAACGTGCTGTGCCATGTGACGCGACGACGTACACGCTTATTAAATGTGTACCGCGTGAAATGGAGTGTTCAGATTGAAAGTTAATAGCTAGAATAGAGGTTGACGAGTTATGAGAGTCGCAAACAATATTTAACAAGATAAAACAGCGCGTTGAATATAATAGCCGATTCCGGTAGATGAGGCTGGAGAAAGGATACAAAGTGGAGTAAACGAATGGATTTATGTATCGGATGAATTGAAGATAAGATTGTTAACATATTTTTCACATAGTCGTCATATCTTAGTTTTATATTCGCTATTACGTTACTTTCGCTTCGTAATTTCACTCTTAAAACTCTTAAATCGGGAAATCTTTCTCTATTACATTAAATAGTTGTAAAAAAGAATAAATTCTAATTTTGTATTCTGTAATTATTAATATGCTATTTTAATTAATATATACTATTTTTAAAATAAAGGAGAATATATACCATGAAGAAATATATGAAGAAATTAAAGCGTTTAAAGATTGACACTTATATAATTGAAAATAATTAAAAATATCTGCTAATATTGTACTGAAAAAGCGTGCAATATGACATTTTAAAGAAAAAGAAATCTTGTTAACTCAACCCTTTCATGCCATGCTTCCTTAACGAACTAATTGATTCTATTTATCAGTTGTAGACGAGTTTTGCAAACGGGAACAAAACTATTAAGTCTTCTATTAAGTCGTGAATGCTAATATGCTTTTGTCACAGGATATATGTAATGCCCACAAGAAGAGGGATTAACGACATCTTAATCATATGTTATTAAATCTCTTCTTTTTAGTAGTCAATTTGATTCTTTTAAAGTGTCATAACATTGACATAATCCACAATTGCGAGTGATCCCATCGAATAACCTCTTTTTTGTTAGTATTACAAAATCCCTCTTTATTGCATCACTCAAACTCTCGTCACCTGACGATCTTACATCAACAGTTCATGCTCTTGGGGCTATTCCAATACTCCATAATCGAGGTAACATCTGCATAAATATCATAATTTTCCGATGAGAGATATGAAAGAAACAGAGAGAGAGAGAGAGAAAAAGAGAGAATATCTTCTCAACGTAATGAACGTATGCCATGGATTTGATTGCTATCTAGTTTGGTTGTGCAAAATCTCTTGCGAAAGAGCTTTTCTATGTGCGAGCCTCATTAACGTGTCTTCACTATGCTCACCTACGCAATTTTCTTCTCTGAAAGGCGTCTTCTTTCAAAAGCGACCATTTTCCTTTTTATCTCACGCTGCACAACGTAACTTCAATACAGCTAATATTTTCTCGATCAAAGAGCATATTAGCATAGCATTTTACTTTACATCATACAATGTGTGATTCAACAAAACCAATAAACTGAAGTAAGAACTAAAAATTAGCTGATTAATAAAATGATTTATAAAAAAAAGTACATACACCCCGAATTATATATATTCCGTGTATAATTTTTAATAAATAATATGTGAGCTGATTGATTTTGCATATGCATATAGATATGTATATATTTTAAAAATTATTTAAAAAAAAAATCTCTCGATTTGTATACACTTTAAATAACAATTTATGATTCTGCTTATTCTTTCTTTCTGTATATTTATAAGGCAATAATACGGCTATGTAAAAAAATCAAGTCATCGAATCGACACTCGTGCACAGAGGTATGCAAAAACACGAGCAAAGTGCCAGTTTTTCGCGAATCCGTGTGATCACGTTTGAACCGCAATACGCGGCACGCATAATCGTGTTGAGTAACTTATGGGTGACACGGCTGAAGAAAGAAAAAAAGATCGATCATCGCCAGTCTGGGTCCAGTGACCTCATGACCACGTAAGCTGCTGCATTCTTGACGGTTTCGTGTCGATCGCTGAGAAAAAAATTTCAACCCTTGTTCCTCAGAATTGGGAGTAGTTTCTGAGATCGAACTTTTGTCTTATCTAAAAGTTACACGTAATGCGATCTGTAATAGCGTATTCCCTGGCGTTTTATAGATCTAATCGTGCTGCCGTAAGCAGCTTCTAACTGAGACTCTTCTCACGTGCATTATCGTCTCTCATTACACCCAAACGCGGAAGCGCCGACGTTACAATGTATCGCTATTATATAAAGCAACAGCGGCTAATTAATGTAATTCTAACACAGTCGCTAATTCATTGTGGCGCGTCATTATATTCCTGAAAAATCGCGAGACGCGACATTTCACCGTTTCTTTAAATATAGACGGGATATTACGTAAAGACGATTTAATTATCGTTGCCTTTATGTA